AGTGCATGCATAACAAGCTAGCACGGAGACAAGTCCATGTTCAACCTTGGCTATCATTGATGTATCAGACCTCAACTAAATCAATCAAAAACCCTTCAAAGACAGAACCTCTAGAAGAACTACTTTACCAGTTCTAGCTAAATATTATCATCCTTAAGATTTTACTCAGAAACTTAGCATGGAGAGATAAGAAGATGGATAGAAGATAGAAGGCAGATCCTTTTGAGAGTAATAGTGCATGAATGTTACTTAGACCAAAAATTGATTATGTGACTAACCAAGAGAGGAAAATTATTAAATAAAGAGCATTCTACTTGATTAAACAATTAAAGATTGAACAACTAATATAATTGGATGCTTAAACAAATTCTTCCAAGTTAAGAACTTAGACTATTGTTGTGAGAAATTTAAATAAAACTCCTGAAACTTTGAGCCAATAGGAAGCATTAACATAAACCAGGCAGCTCCAAAAAGTACAAAAAAATTTCAATCTTCACACGATTCCCTCTCCTGATCCAGTTTTATTCCTCTTAAATGGTGCAAAAATTTTATTTTAGAATGAAATCAATTGCAGCTTGTTAAAAAACAAATCAGTGCCTTTTTTTCAAATTAAAGTGCAGATTTTTTAGTTAAAAAAAACTAAAGATTTCATGGATCCAAGTGCTAAGAAACAGCTGCACACCTCCACACTTAGGCTATGCACTGTCCTCAGGGCATGTTATGCTAATTGAATGAATGAAAGTTTAAAAATGATCCTAAACCAAATGCAAAGAGTGCAAGGAAAATAAAAGAAAAAAAACTGAATATAAAAGAAAACTTAAATGTAACTAAAATGCCTGTTTTTTGTTTTTGTGCTGGGTTGCCTCTTAGAAAGCTGCCCTGTTTAGTAGTCCCGGCTAGACTTTACTGCCTCATTTCATGGCTCCTCAAGGAAGATGTCCTCGACCTTAGCAACCTGTTCACCTTGGTGATACACCTTCAATCTATGACCATTAACTTTAAAAATCTTATTAGTATTTTCATCAGGGAAGGTCCCGGTGAATGGATTTAAGTTCTCTTTATCATGTTTTATCCTACTTAAGTAGTCAGCCACTTGATTTAATCTTCCTGCCCTATCTTTTATTTCATAAGTAAACTCCTCCAGCAAAAGCACCCATCTTAACAACCTCTGCCTAGAATCTTTCTTACTCACTAAGTATATCAGGGCAGCATGGTCTATGTAAATTGTCACTTTGACTCCCAGTAAGTACATTTTAAACTTTTCTAAGCCATATACCACAGCATACATCTCTTTTTCAGTTGTTGTATAGTTTATTTGAGCAGAATCAAGAGTGCAACTAGCGTAGTATATAACATGGGACTGATTTCCTGATTGTTGTCCTAAAACAACCCCCACAGCCCTATCACTAGCATCACACATCAATTCAAAAGGCAGTTTCCAGTTGGGTGGTTGAACAATAGGTGCTGAAATCAGTTTTTCTTTTAAAACATCAAAAGCCAGCTTACATTTGTCATCAAAAATGAATGGAGTGTCTTTTGAAAGAAGATTTGTAAGTGGAAGGGCTATTTTAGAAAAATCTTTGATAAATCTCCTATAAAAACCAGCATGCCCAAGAAAAGATCTTATTTCTTTTAAAGTTTTAGGGTAGGGCAGAGCCTTAATAATTTCCACTTTTGCTGGATCAACTTCCATTCCTTTTGAAGAAACAATATG